ATTTTCAGGAAGCCAGATGTCAATATTTCATTGCCCAAGGATTTGTGGAGATATTACACCTACGTTCACTGCAAAGGGAAGATGTGACTTTCATTATAAGGTCTAAGCATTTTCCCCACCTTCTAACTTTCTGGACAACCTTGGGACTCTCCTGAGATGGTAGCTGGGGAAGGAGGGCCGTTAGCTGCTAAAATAAGGCCCAACTTTGAGTAATGAAAGGCAGTCTTTTAATCATTTTAGAGACAAATCCTCAAAGCAGCAGCAGTGCCTCTCAAGGATCAAGGCTTTCTGTCCATCAAGACCTTTGAGCCCCAAATTGCAGTGGGCTAGGAACATTTTGCTGGAATGCTGATGAGGCTTCATGGAGCTCCACTTGAAACGTGAATCCTACCTTCCTGTAAAAAACCCCACAAATATCCGGCTCTCGCTTAGCCTAGACAATGAAAAAAACTTTCACGTCCAGAAGAAAGCTGCTATTTTTGCGAGCTGAATTTGATTTCAAGGTACTGTCTAGACGTAGCCAAGCATTCAGTTCTCTCCATAGAACCTTTCCAACCAATGCAAAGGGAGGGTACTCTTGAAAAGAGTACAAGAGACTATATGTAGAAGGAGTGTGTCTAGTATTTAATTTAGAAAGCACACAGTCAACTGGCAGGTTTTTAAAAAATACGTAATCTAGAGTTGAGCTATTCAATACAATAGCCACATGTGGCTATTTAAATTGAACTTAATTATAATGAAATAAAATTAAAAATTTACTTCATCAGTGACACCAGCCACACAATAGCCACAGTGCAGCTACTGGCTACCACCTAGGACAGTGCGGATACAGAACTTTGCATCATCACAGAAAGTCCTAGTGGACAGCCCTGCTCTTGGGGGAAGTAATTTATTAGCATCTTAGCTTCTGTTCCCCAATCTCAGCTCCTCCTCCCCACCCTCCTTGCTTCTTCCAATTACAAAACAGGTTTTCCGTCTCTCTCTGCCAAGAAGTGGGGAAGTGGCTGCTTACTCTTGGCTGAGGGTGGTAGAGAGCATAAACTCCTAGGCACCCCAGGGGGAATTAGTCTTCATTAGTGTGGCTTCCTTGTTAAATCACTGGCAAGGAAAGGCGCTCGCATTCAGATGCCTGGAATCACTAGGTGCCTCAGGAGTACCCACCTTGGTGCAGTTACAAATCACTTAAGTGAATCCATTTCTCCTGAGCTTTCTAAATGGATAATTGAATTCATTCTTTCGCAACATTGGCCTGAATTTGAAGTTGAGATCTAGAAGCCGTGTGCCCTCCCTGTTCCACTCCAAACCATCCCGAAGCTGGAATGATGATATATCCTGGCTCACTCTGAGCTTCAGGAGAGCAAGGGGTCAGCTGTTATTCATCTTTGTAGCTCCAGTGCCTAGCCAGGATGCATGTGGCTGTGGAAAGCGCCCAGTGAATGCTTGTTGAAGAAATTAATTAATCAATTACGTAATCAATCAAGATGCCTTCTGTTTTCCCAGTAGGATTTTCACTAATTATTCCTGTAGAGAGTCCATTCCGCAGCACAGTGATTAGCAAATCTGGCTGCACATTAGAATTACCTGAAGAGCTTTTAATACCTACAGGTGCCAGGGCCCCACCCCAGACCAGGAGAATCCAAATCTCTGAAGGTGGGGCTCCGGCATCTGTGGCTTTGTAAAAGCTCCCCCGGGGTGAGAGCCACGGCAGGGTCCTGGTATGGCAGCCATGGGTAAGTTTTTCTTCACCCCCAAGTCCCACCTCATCCGCTGTCATTTTTTCTGCAACAGTAGCATGAATCTGATCTTAATAGTTACCCTACTCAGTTATAGGACAATAGTGTCCCCACTGCTCCTAAAAGAGATTATGGGAAGATAAGACTCCCGGTGGAAGCTTTATTTTAATGTTTTAATGAAGATTCAAGCTAGAACTGTGTTGAAACAAAATAGGACAATCTCTTCCTTTAAATGCTCCCTGGAAGTTTAAGTTGTTAGTGAAATTTGATGTCAGATTGATTTTGTAAAAGCAGAGTACCTAGCTGCGTGCACACCATGATAGGAAGTGTGCAGAATATATCTATAAGAAAAAGGCTTGGGATAAAGGAACTGACACTCTGGGAGTAACTGTGGATAAAGCAAGAATGAGGGGTGTGGGGAGACTAGGGAGTGGATTGCGGGTCCTGCCCATGAGAATCAGCTGGGAGAAAGTGTACGGGCTGGATGCGGTGCACTGGGTGTTACCGAAGGCTGCCGGGTGCAGGAGGAAAGAGCTCTGCGAGATGACTGAGCCAGGGTCAGCACGGGGTCAGCACAGGCACCAGGGACCAAAGGTGTGGATGGGAAGACGATGACCGGGCAAGACTGCAGCCAGAATTGAGATGAGAGGGAGACCATGGGGTCAGTAATGGACAAAGGGGTCCAGAGCTGAGGCCAAGACGTGTTGGGCATCCTTTGGCACCGGGGCTGGCCTGTGCTCTCAGGCAGGGGTAGTTCCTAAAGAGGGGCTTCTGGCAGGATATCTGTTTCCTCTTCCTCTTTTATTTTCCAAATATCACATAACAATAGTTTCCTAACATTAAACACGGTGTGTCTGTGCAGTGCAAAAATGAGCCAAAAGAAATAGGATGAAAAGATACTAATAATAGCTGTGATTTATTGAGTACCTACTATGTGCCAAATGCCAAATAAGGCTTTGCACGCACATCTCAGTTAATCCTCTCACACGATGTCACCACTACCGTCCCCACTTTAAAAATGAGAGAACTGAGGCTAATTGAGTTGTCCAGGGTCACACGGCCAGCACACAGCACAACCATGATTCAGTCTGTATCTGTGGGACTCCAGAGAGAGGCACTGGCTCGCATGCATTTGGTCTCAGGCTCCATCTGGATTCATGAGTCGCCTCTTCCCACACCAGCTCCACACCTCACCAAAGGCCACCCCTTCTAGCCAGTGCTGGTTATCCTCACATGGTTTCATTAGGTGGTGGGGGTTTTATGAGGTTCTACCACAGGCTGTTTTTCAAATTTATTTAATTCATCCATCATGCTCTGAAGCCATTTGCTTTTTTATATTGGACAGATGTAATGAGATTTTGGACACTAAAAAATGTTTTTATTAAAAGTTATGACCCAGAGCTAGTTGGTAGGGACTATGCCATAAATCCCTAGAAGTGCACGAATTTATAAAGGCTGTAGCGACATAACCTTAACCTTTTAGGCCACTCCATAGATTACAGGACCGCTTAAACTAATATTGTCTCTCCACTTCTCCCCACCTCTGGCCAAATAATAATAATAATAATTTATGCTGTTCTCTGATATGGTTGGTCGTCCTCTGCTCTTAGCCACAGTGGGCTCTTGGGGAGCCAGTGCCTGGTGGAAGCAGGTGGCTGATGGCAGAATTCGCTGGTGGTGGGCCCAAAGGCCCCGCTGTGCTGGGCACGCTGGTTCTCTGGCTCTGCTTCGCAGCCTCATAACTGGGGCTGAGCGAAATCGTCACGTTTGCTACAGATGGTGAAAGTGATTTCTGACAAATGAGTATTGTGAGGTTATTAGGTGATGGTTTCTCCATTCCTCTATTGCCAATAGGCAGCTCTCCTAAAAATTAGGAAATGATATAATTATTTCTGTTTGTGCATAGTAACTCATTGTAATGTCAATATTATCAGATTTATATTAATGTTATACTGCTTAGAAATCATCCAAAAGATAATTAGCTCATAATATAGACCAAAACATGGTCATGTATCTGTATATATAGATATTATATATTTATAGTAAATATTATTGTTGTGACTTTGTGAAATTAATGTTTATTAAGCTGAGCCCTGGGGCATCACATGGTGGGCCACAGTTCAACAAAGACCACAGGAAAATTGAAGTACAGAAGTTTATTATTCACAGGTCCTGGAGGAGGGGCCACATGGGGAGGTCAAGGCAGAGTGCAGGAGAGAGTAGCAGGACCTCAGGCACATGCCTTTATTAGGCCCATATGTGAAGTGCCTGGATTCCCTGGGCTGATTCATGCCAAAAAGAGAAGGGTTTTGGTAAGATTCAAAGGGGTCTTATCGAAGGGGTGATATGGGGTGATAAGGGGTGATAGGAGGCCAGGCAGACTGCTTACCACAAGAGTCCCATCAGGACCTCAAGCTGGTGTCCAGGGCATGCCTCCCTGGAGGGGTTGGTGTCAGTGTAGGGCCCCTCCAAGCGCTTGGCCACAGAAAAGGATGCTAAGAGAGCAGTATCCTGGAGTAGTTTAGAGAAATTCTCGGCAAAATAGAAAATTAAAACAATTAGATCTGGTCAACAGCCAGCTGCTTGTAAAATGTGCATCATTCCTATATTTTGGGGCACTGCTATGTGTCAGATCCTTTGTTAGCTCTGGGAATTCAAAAGTACATACAGCGTGGTCCCTGCTCCCGGAAGCTCATCGTGGATCTGCACAGATGATGTGGTCTTATTCTCAGAGGAGGAGTTTCAACAAAGAAGATTAAGGAAAGCTTCATGGAAGAGGTGGCCCTTCAGTGTGTTTGAGGAGCTGGCTGAGCTTTGAGCTTGCAGGAATGAGGGGAAGAGCATTTCCAGCAGAGGGGACAGCGGGCGCAGAGGCCCTTATAAAACTAGCTGTTTACAGGCTTCTCTAAAGACTTAAGTTTGGCCAAAGCAGATAACATTTTTGTCTTTTAAGACAAAAATCTTAAGGGTAAACATTATGCTCTTATCTGTTGCCACTGTGAGACCGGCCGGGCAATGTCTGTAATTTCCGAGAGATGAACTTTGAACTTACAAACTTGCCGTGGCTGTATTTCCTGATGGGGCCCATGTTTGATCATCTGCTCACGCCGGGAACCCCTTCCAGGGTTTTCACCGGACGTTGGCAGCCGCTCCTGCCACTGAGACCGTGAGAGCGTAACCCATGGATACCGTCATCATCAAACTCATTAATCCGTGTCCTTTGTGTGTCGTTCACTCCATCCTCACTCACCACCCCTCCACTTTCAGAGCGGCCACCCGATGGAGGATTTTGAAGAACGGTTTGCCGCGGCCACCCCGGTAAGAATGAGAGGGCCCTTGCCTGGCAAGCTGTTTCGTGTCATTGTCCCGTCATTCATTTCATGCTCATAAGTCGTGCCTTGTGCTTACAGAACAGAAACCTGCCCGTGGACTTTGATGAGATTCTTGAGGCAACGAAGGTAAGGCCTCCAGGCTTGTAAGTGAGGGTTGTCCTGGCCATTGCCATGCATCCCGAGCACCCTCACCCGCCGGCGTGGGGGCAGGCGCTCTGCGCTGCTCCCCTCCCGTGTTCACGGGACGATTCCTGGCGGGCCCTGCCCCTCGACAGGGTCAAATAGCAACAGTGTGCGTGTGTGTGCGTGTGTGTGAAAGTGGGTGTGCTGGAGAGGAAGTGACACTCCTCCATTTCATTCAACAAATGCTTTTTCGAGCTCCTAACAGGTCCCAGGCATTCTGATAAATGGCTGGAGATGTAGCGGAGAGGAAGCTCATAGTATCACAGTGCAGCACTGCATCGCACAGGGCAGGGCAAGGTAGGGCAGGGCGGGGAAGGGTGGGGCCAGGTAGGGTAGCCTAGGGGGCGTAGGTGGCACGACAGTGTAGTGGGGACTCAGACACAGAAAGAGAATGCGTAAGTGCACCACTGGGAATAAAAGACATGCGGGACTGCTGTTCGGTCAGCGGGCCTGGACTAGACATACCGGCTTACCACCCGTAGTTACACAGATTGGCTGGCATACAGGCCAATGAATGTGATCTCCCCGAGTCCAGGGTGTTTGGCCGCAAATTAGAATCACCAGGGACGCTTTTAAAGTTTGGGGTGCTAGGCTGCACTTCAAACCTGCTAATTCAGAATCTCCTGGGGTGTGAACAAGGTATCAGTATTTTCCCCAGGGGATTTCAGTGTGCATCCAAGGTTGAGAACCACTGAAATAAAAGTATTATCTAAGCTGTGCTGGGTAGCGTGAGGGGGTGCAGACTGAGTTAGGAAACATTTCCCAGGAGGAAGCAAAGCCCCCTAACTTGTGCCCTGAGGGATGGACGGAAAGGGAATGGGGGAAGGAATGAGTGTTCTACGTTGGAGGGAAAACATGTGCAAAGGCCCTGAGGTGGCCCTTCCTTTTATAGCCCTCATGTTTCTCGACTCCATGACTGCCCTGATTATGCCTAAAGGCCTCTCTTTCCATCGGGTAGCCAGCTCCTGAGAGTAGGAGCAGGAATGCACCTCATTCTTCCCTGTATCTCCTGCTCTTGGCACAGTAGCTGATGTACAGCAGGGACTCCATACTTTTCCCAAATGAAGGAGGTCCTGATGCGAAAACATAGGCAGTGGGCCTGTGAGAATGTGAATGTGATTTGGGGGGTCAGTCAAGGACATCTCAGCCTTCAGCAGTGGCGCCTTCAGGATTTCTCTATAGGAGGGGCCTAGGAGTCTAGATGCCATAGTCTAATTGCATGGGGACCCAGAGACTGACCTTGGAACAGCAGTTGTGTAACACCAGATATTCTTGTGAAAACATCACTTGTTCATATCAAAGAATGGCTAGAGAGGGATAGACCTGATAGAGATATTGAGGGCCACCCCCATCAACACCCCAGCTACCTCTCATCCCCCCTCTGGCTTTGGCCACTTCCAGTGTCACTCTGCTTAACCAGGGAAGTGCCCAGGGCCTAAAGAAGGGGGAGAATCTGCCATCACCAGTCACATCTCTCTTCACCTGAAGAGGTCCAAAGTGCTAGTAATGGACAGGCAAGTAGGCACCTTGAGCCGGCCTTCCAGGTGACATCTACAGATGGATATGACTCATGGCCGACCTTTTAGGAACTGGACTTCTGGTTAGAGTACTGTGGAGCTGGACTTCCACCAGGCCAGGTAGGAAGTTAACGAAGGCTCTGGGAAGTGATAGATAAACGAGGTGCTGCTTGGTCTGTGAGTCAAGTCCCGCTTCTGTTAGCTCACCTGTCAGAGGCAAGTCACTTAGCTCTTGGTCTCAGTTAGCTCACCTGCAAAATACAGGCAGTGAGAGAGACACCTGTGCTGCTGACCTCCCGGGGCTCAGTGAGCATCAAACTTGATGACATTTTGCAAAGTGTATTGTAAACTGTAAAGTGTTTCACAAATGCGGATGGTTACTTTTCTTCTTTTCAGGCCTTTAAACAGTTATGACAGTCTTATTGATGGAACATGGCTTATTAGGCTACACGTAAAGGCGCAGGGCTAACATGGGGAAGGAAGTTGTTAAAATAGACTTTATTCCAGATTCTCAGTCACATGTGATTATTAGAATTATTTTTAATTGTATGGCCTAAGAATCCATTTTTCCTATAAAATTTAATTTAACTCAAAATTCTATTTAAACAGCAAGTCCAGTGGGATGAAATAATCTATGTTTTATGTCTCTGTGTGTTGTTCTCATTTAATCCTCGAGTGAAAACCGTCAGGTCAGGCAGGGGTGAGTCTACATCTCAAGAATGAAGGTGATTTTGAAAGTTGTGTTTAAGGAGAAAATTAGCCAGAAAACGATATGTACGATGATAGTAGAAGTATGCCACGAGTTCAACACATTTGAAGTGTAAATCATGTAACTTACTTCATTTTAATATTTTCCTTCACTGAAAGTAGTTGTGGACCATTTTAAAAGCATTGGGTTCCAATTACGAGGAAGCCCCGAAGCTTCATTTGAGTTAATGGAATTATTGCTTACATGAATTTGGGAGAGAGCCTAAAGGATTGGAATAGTTTCACCAAATAATATAAAATATGGAAACAAGCTAACGAAACAAGGAAGTATTTAAGCTCCAGCCAGATTTGGGAGAGCTCTGCACGCTGACCATTGCATTTCCATCCCGTAACCCTGGACTGTTATCATCTGGGAGAGAATCAGGTTAGTGAAGAGTGGACAGGAAAGGCTGTGAAATGAGAAATAAGCCAAGTCCCACCAGGACTTTGATGGTCTCCTGTCCTGCCTCTCCACCCCCACACTGGTTACAGCAAACTGCTTAGACGCCCACCTGCTCAGACGCCCACCTGCTCAGACGCCCACCTGCTCAGACGCCCACCTCCTAGGCAGTACCAGGCCTCTGCCCTTTTTGCTCATGTCTTTCTGGCTGCCTGGATTTCCCTTCCTCTTCTTGGTTGCCGGGCTGACTGCTCCTCTTCAGGATTCAGATCACGGCTATTTCTTTCAGAAACCCCACATTAAGCTTCTTTGCCAAAAGCTAGCTGGGTCCTTCCTGGGCGCTCCCGCAGCACCCATAGAGACCTCTGTTGCCATTCCTACCACATCACCTTGAAATTAGCTCTGTCTATAGATTGTCCCCACCAGACTATAAGCTCCCAGCAGGCAGGAACTTGGCATTTCTCATTACTGTGTTCACAGCACCCAGCACAGAGCCCAGCACCCAACACCTGTTCGGTGTATATGGAAGAAATGTCGCATCGTTGGGAAGGATATTAACATGCACAGGGACATGCTGTATGCCAGGCACCGTTTTTCCATCTGAAGGCTTAAAGGGAAGAGTTGAAAGTGAGTTAGCCAGCCTGAGCTCCCTTCAGCCAAAAGAGCTTTTTGTACCTTTTAAACCAGGCTTAGCCAAACATCAAAGAAAGTCCTGCTATTAATGTCAATAAATCTGCAAAGGAGATATCATCACCTCTGTTTCCAGGTGAGGAAACTATAGCTCTGAGGAGTGGCAGAGACTGGAGGTGGTAGAACCCAAACATATGCCCAGGTGGGGGACCTTGTCCAGCTGCCAGAGCTCACTCATCAGTAGGAGAGAACATTTCTCTCTTCTCCATGAGCTGCGGAGATCTGGAATTCAAGTCCAGGAGTCCTGCATGGCAGGCAGGCAGGCAGGCAGGCGCTCCCTGTCCTTTCTATTGAGTGGTGTTTTTAGGTTCCCCCATGAGAAGTGTAAAATCCAAAGAGGAGCAGAGAGTGTTTTCCTCAGTGGGCAGGTTTGCACAGAGCATATGATTGTACACTTTACGTCAGGCATTGGCACCCTGGCCGTGGACTCCCCATGGTCTCTGAAGCAGGGAGAGCATGCAGGTTCATTTCTAAGTGTATCTTCAAAGGTTTCTTCCACGGCTGCGCTGGCGTCGCTCAGACACGCCTGTGTGATGGATGGGGAATGTGGATGATACGATGTCTGCAGCGATGGAGTTCCCAGGAATGATTAATAGCGTATACGCTGGGCTGTTTTTGATGCCCTTCCTGGTATTAAATGATATGTTTTCATTTCCTCCAACTACATTTTTTATTCTCAAGACAGACTCTTTCAGGAACTGTCATCTGACTGCATACTCCATGTGCAGAAAATTTAAGTCTTAGCCTGGTGACCTTGAGGTCACCTCTGTGAGGCTCAGTTTATTCATCTGTGGAAATGGGGATGCTGCTGCTTACCTCTCAGGGTCACTGTTATTGGGAGCGTGTACAGAGAAGTGGCCATGGAGTCTGTCTTACTATACTTAGCATGTGAAAGGCGTTTCATACATGTGAATACACACATGAAAGGAAAACCAGTGATGGGATTGCCTCCTTGCCTTAATCTCCTGGAGAAGAGAGACAGTGTCGGCATTAATGGTAAATACTTGTGAATGGTATTAGTATTGCTTATGGGAGGCGGCCAAGCCGAATCTCCTAGACTGAGCGCAGATAAACAGCCAGACACACTGAAGCAGGAATTGATCTGGCCGCATCCCAAATGTGGTCTTTAGGGTCATGAGGTATAGCAATGACCAACCGGGCTTATTGTTTACACAGATGTGTTGAGAAAGAAATACTGGTCCTCATAGGATGCTGTTTATCAAGCAGAGCCCAGCAGCAGCAGCAGTGTTCCTCATGGTGACATCATTATCTTTTATGTCTTTTCAGGCTGTGACCCAATTAGAACTTTTTGGGGACATGTCCACCCCTCCTGATATAACCTCTCCCCCCGTAAGTATGCACTGCCCTCTGAGCCCAGCATCCCTTCCCTTCCCTTCTTCAGTCTCCCAGGGCCAAGAATAGGGGCTTTGGGTAAGAGGCCTGCTGGTGGGTTTCAGCCCCAGCTCCTTCAAACTGCATGATTTGGGCAGAATAACTAGTAATTCTAAATCTCAATTTCCTAGGCTATTTTTTAAAAGGAGTTGTGATATAGGCTTCTGTTCTGAGAAATAAATAAGACCGTGCGTTAGCAATTACAGATCACCTGGGGACTTGCTGTTACTCTGGGCAGTGGAGAGAGACATGAGTGTGATGTGGCCGCTGCCTGCAAGGAGCACATGGTCTAGCTGGGAATATTGGCAAGAAACTCAGCAGGACAACAGACAGGATGAGGTGTTTGACAGCTACCCAGCGCGCACTGCCAGGTGGTCAGCCCAGGAGAGGAAGCATCTTCTCCCCCACCCCTTCCTGCCCTTTCCTCTCTCCCTTCTTTCTTACCTTCCATCCTCTCTTCCCCCACCCCTTCCGAATGGCCTGCTAGCTTTACTGAGCTGCTCACAAAGCTCGGGACCCCCAGCTCCAGGTTCAGGTTCAGCCAGGGGTAGCTCAGTCATTGCCTGCAGGGAGACAGAGACTGCAGGAAGCCCTCATTTGAAAATGAAAAGAAGGAAAAAAAGGTATGAAAACCAAAACCAAATAGAAACCCAGTGCTTTGCAAACTGGATGCATTCAAAGGCCACCCTGCAGCTACTGTGAACAACAGAACCAGCAAGAGATGGCCCCCTCAGCTCCGCCCCTCCACTCCCCACTCCCGGAGGAGGGTGGAGAGCCGCCAGCCGCAGCTGCACCAGCTGAAGCTTCGGGGAGGGGGCAGCTCCCCTGGGCGCTGCGCAGTTGTGCAAACCGAGGGATGGTGCCATGGTTCACTGGCGAGATGTGCCTCACAGAGAAAAGGCTGTAACCTCACCACTGAGGACAGATGGCACGGGACCCTGCTGCCCGCAGCTGCCGCCAGGGAATCTAGGCACAGCTGTTCTGCTCCCAACACCTGATGTCCAGAGCAGCCGTGAAGGAGGGGACAGCGGCTCCCGTCTCCAGGGAAGCTGGACAGCTCTAGCAAGTCTCATTCCCCCTCTCTCCCTGGGTGGAACAGCTGTGTCCTGGGCACTGGGAATCTCAGAACCTCGGCCTATGCACCTAGAAAAGCCCGAGGAGATCCTCTAACCTTCTCCCCTTCATTTTACAGATGTGCAGACTGAGTCCCGGAGAGGGCATGTCACTCGCCCAAGGTCACATAGGGGAAAGGAGAATGGCATTGATTGTGTTTAAAAGTGCTTAATGCAGCATCTCGTGGCTGTGTTTCTGGCCCTGGACCCAAGTGCAGTCCAAATGGGCATTTAATTATCCTCAGAACAAGGCCCTTCTCCCCACACGCTGCTAGTCTACAAATGACCTCGTCTGATTGCCTTGGTTTCAGGATTAATTGCTTGCCCCAGTCTATCCCAACGAGGGGGGGATAAGAATATTATGTCATCGAATAGACATACTCTGTAGGCAAAGGGCCTCTGTAAATAGGTGAGGACCTTTAAAAAGAAACTGTATACTGATGGTTTTAATCAGTACCCCGCACCTTACCAACAGCTCACGCAGCGGACCTTTCTGGAATTCCAGGCACTATGATTTACAGCTCAGGCTTTTTTGTTTCTAATCGTCTTCTTGAAAATATTTACTTCTTCTTGCAAGTGAGGATTCAGGCAAAATTCTGGAAAGCACTAGGATATAAAGACCTGTGTTCCAGTTGCTAAGCTTTATTTGTTCATTTAGTCAACAGCTATTTATTGGCCGTGTTTTAAGTGACAAGCCCTGAGCTGGCTGCACAGTAGTTCTGAGCGGTGTATGTCAGTTTGAACTGACCACCTCTAAGGGAGGAAAACCAGATATTGTGGAGTAATTTGAAGATTTGAAGGCCTGAAAACACCCCTGAGGGGTACGGGCTCAAAATAAACAGTCATGATATTGGCCTTCGCTTGCTGAGCAACTACTGTATGCCGCAGCATGGTGCTAAGTGATTTGAATACATGATCTCATTAATCCTCACAGCAGCTCTAGAAGTAGGTATCACTTTGCCCATTTTACAGATAATCTGTGTAACCAGCTCATGGTCTGCATACCACCTAAGTGGCCCAGACCCTGGCTTGCTTCTGCAGCACACACACAATTCCTGCACCTGCCGCCTCCCATCCTGATGATCGCCCGGCCAGGTCTCCCAGGAGCCTCACGCACCCTTCTCCTCTCTCTGTCTGACAGACTCCTGCAACTCCAGGTGATGCCTTTATCCCGTCTTCATCTCAGACGCTTCCAGCGAGTGCAGACATGTTTGGTTCTGTACCTTTCGGCACTGCTGCTGTACCCTCAGGTAAGCCCTGTTCCACCTGCTTCCCTTCCCGCGGAGAAGGGGTTGACTGGACCGGCTGCCAGATTATGCCAGAGCACCTGGGGACCTTCATTCTCACACTGTAACTCTTCAGGTGACAGTGAGAAGCTGCCATGGGCGTTGGGGGTGGAGAGGGGGGCGCTGTTGACAAAGGTCTGGTATGCTACTGGCTGGAGCGCAGTGATGGCTTTCACCTGGAGTGGTCAAGATTCCAGGTCACTCAGGAGTCTAGCTTTAGGGAGCTTGGTGCACACACAGCCATGCAAGTCAATGCAAGTCCATTTCTTCGTGTCTGTCTCAGCCAGAGGAGAAAAGGTGGCAAGTAGGGAGATGGTGAGTCAGTTCTCCAAAGACCTCTTGAGATCTGATTGATAGACGTGATCTGCCTTGTTTGGTGGAGATTCAAGGAGGGGAAAGGTCCCCATACCAGAAACAGAAAGGACAGAGCAAACTGCTTAACAGTGAATTGGGAGGCTGATGGGGCTCTTAGTGATTTGTAAAGTATTTGTTCTGTTTTCCAGATATTCTTTAAAATGCACACACTACTTTTACAACAGGGTAAAAATATATAGAGAATTGCAGATGAGTTACAAATTGGTGGGAGCTCAGGCATCTTGTTTCCATGGCATCAGGCACTCCATGTGGTCAGTCCACAGACTTGGACACCGCCAAAGGTGGGATTCGTTCTGCTTTCTACATGTAGGCGAGACTTAAAGACTCTTTTGCTTCCTTTAACTACATATTTGTAATTTGTAGCTTCATCTTTCTTTCTCTACTTTATTCTTATAAATAGGAAATTGAGTTTAAATATTCTAGAAGACAAATCTTGCATTTTTCTATAAATAATTACTTTTAATTACATACCGTTAGAAGCCAATTCTTGCTACCAAATATAAACTTCGTTGTTATTCAAAGTGAATTAAAAATTTAGACCCTGTTCTGAAATAGTCACACTTACTCCTCACGAGCCCAGGGATCACAATGAACTTTTTAGAAGCAGCAAAGTTCGGTCGCCACTGGGTCTGCTTATAATGTAGGAAATGCAAGTAGCCTAGAAATTTATTCAGTTGCTAAGTTTCCCAATTAAATCTATTTTATCCGCCTTTAAAATGGGGTAGCGGCAGTGAATAGTGTTCCTTACCTATAACGGATCTTTAAATCTCCTTGGGGATCGTGTGCGTCATTTCAAATAAGAATATATAACAGTTTTCCATCACAGATGCGCCACCTTCTGCGCTGTCAGCCTTGTGCTCAGAATACCGACGCTTTGTCATCATTATTTGATTTGTGAAGATCTGCTGGGATGGGCGACGGGAGCTCTAGGCACTAACCTCACTAATTCACAGGCGTGTTCATCCCACAGATACTGAGTGCCCGCTGTGTTCTAGGTTCAGTTCTAGGTGCCTAGGCTGTGTAGGTGAACACAGCAGACCCAGACCCTGCCTGCAGAGAGCTTACTTTCTAGTAGGGAGACAAAGAACAATATAAAAATAGCTTATGTTACATGTTAGGAAATGATAACTGGTATGGACAAAGAGAACATGTAGAGCAGGGTACAGGGGCTTTGGAGCAGGTGACAGGCAGGTATACGTAGAGCCTGTGATCAGGAGGGGCTCCTGCAAAGATGAGACATGAGCAGACTGGGAGTGGCGAGANTGCAAAGATGAGACGTGAGCAGACTGGGAGTGGCGAGGGAGAGAGCCAAGAAGGCATCAGGGTTAGGAGTCCTCAGGCAGAGGAGCGATGACTTGCCCCCTGAGTCTCTGGCCCCTTCTCTGTAAGTGAGAGGGTGGGAAGAGATGCAGTTGCGCATGTCTTCCAGCCCTAACGTGGTGAAAAGCACCTGAGGACCTGCCCGTGCCAGGCACGCACTGCTCTGGGCCTGTTCCCCAGCCTGTGCCAGGCGAGAGCTTTGAAGGCCTGGATTCTAATCTAGCTGGTTGACCAGCCGTGTTGCAAACTATGGACAAGCCATTTCCATACATCCAGATTTGGTTTCTTCAGCTGCTAAAAAAAAAAAAAAGTGGATAGGTTACCTCCAAGCTTCCAAGTTTTAGAACATAAGTTTAAAATTAATTTTAATTAGCATATATTTGCTTTCTTACTCTATTTAAAATACAGTGAGGAACAAAACAAGACTTCAATTGGTGTTAAACTATCTTCGCCTTTTCTCCCTAAGTGGCCTTAAAAATCTCTGCAGCTATTGAATCTCTGTCTACCTGTCCCTAATTGCAGCGCCAGTGACAGGTGGACGGGCAGTGAAGAGGGGTATGCCGGACACTGGACAGGCCTTGGGAGGCTTTTGCAGCCAATGGGCTGGGTCTGAATCCTGGCTCAGCCATTTATTTTTAAGCATTAGACCCTGGGCAAATTACTTTACCTGTCAGAATCAGAGTTTATTCATCTTTATAACTGAATTAGAAATAATATTTACCTTGCAACAAAAGCATGAGGAGTAAATGAAAAGTTAAGTGCCCTGAAAAATGTTGGTATTTTGTAGATGCTTCATGTAGGAAATGCAGTTATTATTATTACTCCAATTTCTTCAATAGAAGAAGATATGTCTTGTCCTACCTATATTATTTTCCTTTATCTTCTTGGAATGTTTTTTTTTTTTAATGCACCTAATAAAGTTTAGGTCTTTGGCCTCCTGACTGCACATGGTGGAGCTGGCCTGGGGGCTTGGGGGCCTGGAGAACGCAGACTCCGTCACTAACCAGCTGTGTAATACTCTGCTCAATCTCTTCTGGGCCTCAGGAAACTTACCTGTAAAATGGGGATAGGGATTCCACCTCATGGAGCTGTTCTGAGGATTGCACGAGATCATACACGTAGTAGAATATTTAAATCAGTGCCTGGCAGCGTTTCATGAGGAGGCACTCGCCCAATGCTTGCTACCTGTTTGGCAGGAGCCCTGGCTCTGCTACCCACGCTCTGTGTAGCTGCGTCACACCTCCCTCATGAAGCTGGAGCTTCTCTAAAACAGTAAGCTCCACTAGGGCAAGAATTTTTCTAACCATTTTGTTCTTCACTGCATCTCCAGACACTAAAACGGTGCTGGCCCCACTGGGAATATTTCTGAATGAATGAATCAGTCAGCCTATCTATCTATCTATCTACCTATCAGTCAAAGGAAAGAATGTAGATAAGAGGCACCATGCAAGTTCTGTTTATGTTGGGGGAGTCCCTTAGTTTTCAGTGTTTTTCTTACATTTTAGTTTGATATTTTATCTTTTTGCAAATAGTGAGCATATCCTCACCTACCAGCATCTGGTTATAAATTGCAATTTGCAACATTTAAAAAAAATCTAACTGCAAAGCAGTAATGCAGATGTTTCCTCTCACCTCACAGCAAGGAGGTTTATGATTGATCTGAACTCCCTGGCATAAACAGATGCTCCCTGGCACCTCCTCCCTCCGCTGCTGAATGTTAATAAGCAAACAGTTACTAAGCTGTTATGTGGCTGCAGTGGCAGCCACCAAGTGGCTTCCTGTGTCCCTGTGTCTGGGGCCACTGCAGCCCTGCCCCTAAGGTGTCCCGTCAGGCATGTGCAATGCTGTGCAGCCAGAGAACCTTGGCTCGCAGGTCTGGGAGGAACCGAGGCTGCAGGAACCGCCCCCATAGGAAAAGCAAGTGAGACCTGTAAGTCCTCAAACATGATACCCAATTACCCTGTGCTGCCTTTTTTCCTGTTGAATATTGTACTTTGGTCTGAAACAGATGGCATGAAGCCACAGAGACATGCTAATAACTCTCTCCAGAAAAGTGTGCACAGCCTATCTGTTGGTTCCTTGTAGAAAAAAAAAAAAATGATAAGGGAGGGGAAATCCCTGCCACCAACAGTAGATTCATCAGTGATCACAGCACTTACAAGTCTTGGCGTTTAGTTGTACACTTGGAAAAATGACCTATTCACCTTTATATTGAACCTTTCCCTGGTCTCAAGCATTTACGGAGCAGCTGATGTGTGCCCAAAACTGTGCTAGACGCAGAGAGGGGAGAGAGAGGGAGGAAGTAAAGGGTTTCTGCTAGCAGGTGGTTTCTGGTCTAATGAGGGAAGACAGAACAACCCGGCAATTACAAAGCAGTGTGACAAGTGCCATGAGAGAGATGAACACGGGGACTGTGGAAGCTCAGAAAAGGAGAACCAATGAGCCTAGAGGTCAGGGAAGGTATCCAGCAAAGGTGATGCTGACCTGAGTTTCAAGCAAATAAGGGGAAGCCACATGGAGAAGTAGGAGTTGACTTTCTAGGAAGATGGACCAGCAGAAGCAAGAGAGCAGGTTGAGTGTTGTTTGCAACAGTTGGAGGAAAAGGTGTCAGTGGGAATAAGAATTGAAGAGGTAGAGAGGGGCTGACCCCCCAAAGGCTAATAAGCCAAGCTAAGGTATCTGAACCTGATGCTCAAGAAAATGAAGCACTATATTTGCATTTTAGAACAGTCCTCTGGTGGCAACAAGGGGGGTGGAAGGGAAGCAAAGAAAAAATGGGCTGGGGGGAGGCTGAAGCCTTCCATCCATTCACAACCTGGACACCAGGGCAAGGGTGATTGAAAGACCCATGAGCAGCTCTCCACACTCAGACTCAGTGCTCTCTTTGTATAACAAATACTTGTATTATTATGAAATGAAACTCATAGAAAGAGTTCAAGCAGATGAGAAGGCACTAAGCCTGGCAAAAAGGAGAGGCAAGATTCAAACCCAGCTGTGCCTGGCTCTGGTCCTCTGCCCTTTCCGCTGAGACACACTGGCTGTGGAGGCTGTGTGACGTCAGAAACCTTTACCTGTAGCAATGTTATCATCGCCCAGATGTCTGCCTGGCTTGCACCCTCAGTGCAGTCTAGTTTCTGCTCACGAGCCGTCTCCTTAGAGAGGTTTCCTGACCGCTGCTCTAGAAGGCGGGATCCATGAAAGCAGGGACATCTGTCTAATTCGTCCTTGCAGCCCCAGCCCCTAGCACACAGCCTGACACTTAGGAGTTTGCTCGGTGCCTTTTTGCCAGTCACCTGCCTCCGTGAACTGCTCCTTCCCGGGGTGCCTGACTCTGCTTCCTAACCCCTCCAGGTTATGTTGCGATGGGCGCCGTCCTCCCATCCTTCTGGGGCCAGCAGCCCCTCGTCCAACAGCAGATCGCCATGGGTGCTCAGCCACCAGTCGCTCAGGTGATGCCGGGGGCTCAGCCCATCGCATGGGGCCAGCCGGGTCTCTTCCCCGCCACTCAGCAGCCCTGGCCCACTGTGGCCGGGCAGTTTCCGCCAGCCGCCTTCATGCCCACACAAACTGTTATGCCTTTGCCAGCCGCCATGTTCCAAGGTCCCCTCACCCCCCTCGCGACCGTCCCAGCCACGGGTGACTCCGCCAGGTCAAGTCCACAGAGCGACAAGCCCAGGCAGAAAATGGGGAAAGAGATGTTCAAGGATTTCCAGATGGCCCAGCCTCCGCCCGTGCCCTCCCGCAAACCCGACCAACCCTCCCTCACCTGTACCTCAGAGGCCTTCTCCAGTTACTTCAGCAAGGTCGGGGTGGCGCAGGATACAGATGACTGTGATGACTTCGACATCTCCCAGTTGAACTTGACCCCTGTGACTTCTACCACGCCATCGACCAACTCACGTGAGTGCCCTTCCTCAGCCCAGGAGAGTGATGCCTGTGTCTGGGCTCAGAGAACTCATCTTAGTTACAGTCAACAGGACTCGTACATGCTACTCTCACCACTAATAACAGGCATAGCTACCAATTATTAGTACCAGTTATAACACATACCTCCCCACATGCTGTATATTTATTATTTTATTTCTGTACTCATATCCATGCCTGTGACAAGTTGCGTTAGAGCTATTTGACACACAGTGAAAGTGAGGCTCAAAGGCAAAGGGGACAAAGTGGTAGCATTGAACACGGGCCTGTTGTTTTTCTGCCACGTCACTCTGCCTCTTAGGTTTCTGTTCATTCGCTCATTCATTCATTCATTCATTTGTGTATATCCCAGCAGTGACACAGAGATTTTTGTATGGCTCACTGAAATAAAAATGAGTGGTGTGTGTGAATTAAAAATTTTTTAGGAACAAGGGTTAAAAATTAGAAAATTAAGATCAGGAGAGAACTTAGGGCAGAGACGCAGCAACCTGAAGGCCTCCTAAAACGGGTGCAGCTGAAGCCAGATTCTGACTCAGAGCTCAGGCCAGGCCGAGAGAAACAATGATGGCAGAGCAGGAAGCTCGGGCCTGCGAACCTGGCAGCGGCTTTGTCACCCACTAGTTTTGTGCCTACGCACAAGTCATTTTATTTCTATGAGCCTCGATTTCCTCACCTATCTTAGGCTCAGGGATATTAAAAGGGTTCAATGGTACCTGATTAAAGCATTACACAGTATACCCCACAGAGTTTGAAGTGGTTTTATTGTCATTATCATTGCGTATGGAGTGGTTTTGTGCAGAGTCCAAGGTTCTAATCTTGATTCCTCCACCGCAAGCTGTGTCTTTGGGAATGTGTGTGACTTCTCTTAACCTCAGCTGTGTCGCTGGTAAAATACATGATGAGCAGTGTGTCCCATTCCAGTTCTGATACTCAGTGGTTCTCGCCCAGCTCATTTTTCTAGTGCAACCATCTGGGAAACCAGAACCGTGCAGCCAGTCAGAGTCCAGATACACTTGAACACACAAGTGCCTGGCTGGCACCGTTCGAGGAGGGTGTCTGGTGATCCTTCCTGTGCCTGGACAATGGACAAGGGGGAAAAAGGCTCATGGAACAATGAGTTTGGCATTTTCATTACTGTCACCGGTGACACAGATCACTGCTTGGCCAATACCATGAATTGTCAAAAAAATAATAATCTAGTGTTAACATAATTAGACAGTGTCATTATAATGAAATAACCACTGATTATTTCATTTGTGTGGACCAGCCCCTTCCTGGCCATCAAGAATGTGGGATACATGGAACAGACTGACAGCTGTCAGAGGGATGGGGGAGGGGGGCTGGATGAAAGAAGGTGAAGGGATTGGCCAAAGAACACATATGCACAACCCATAGACACAGACAAGAGTGTGGTGATGGGCAGAGGGAAGGGAGGCGAGGTGGAGATGGGCAAAGGGGTGGGGGGATGGGGACATCTGTAATTGTGCCAACAATAAAAATAAAGTTAAAAAAAGAAAAAAAGGTAGATTTTTTAAAAAAGAATGTGAGAGGATGAGCTAAATATGTACTGAGGATCTATTACACTGTCCACCTGGTTTGGCCTGTGATTTGTCTCTCACACAGCCAGATCGTTAAGGTTTCAGTGGGGTACACATGTTGCAGCCAGACACTCACAGTATTTCCTGTCTTTTCATGGTTTCTGTGCAGCTCCAACCCCAGCCCCTAGACAGAGCTCTCCGTCCAAATCATCTGCATCCCATGCCAGTGATCCTACCACAGATGACATCTTCGAAGAGGGCTTTGAAAGCCCCAGCAAAAGTGAAGAGCAAGAAGCTGTAAGTGACGGGCTTACTCTTCTATTGCTTTTTCCTTAAATCAAAACTCTATACCCAAAATGGACAATGCACGAGGAAACCTACATAGAAAAGAACACTGGCTCAGACGCTTAAGTTCTAAAGGGGTTTCTAAGGGGCTTTATGTTCAAATGAGCGGCTGGAAAACATTGTCCTTTTATTAAGTCATTCTTACAAGTTCTGGAATTTGTGGGCATGGCATCACAAATTGCCGCCTAACTGAAGTCGCTGCCTCCGTTAAAATAACCGATTATTTGTGTGCATGAAAGTGTGCCCAGCTGCCTTATGTTTTCAGTTGTGGAAAAGAAAAAAAAAAGTGTTATCTTCTTGTGTTCTAGCCTGATGGATCACAGGCCTCATCCAACAGTGATCCATTTGGGGAGCCCAGTGGGGAGCCCAGTGCTGATAATATAAGTCCACAGGCCGGTAGCTAGATAGCGCAGGTCTGGGTAGGTATCTGTCCTTTTATCTCCTTCATCCTTAAGCCATCTGCTTTCCCCTTTGCCTGTCCTTCACTTTGAATGTCACATCCCTGGTGTTTGTACCATCTCTCCTTGCCTAAGCGTATCCCTGATGTTAACATCATCTCTCCTTGCCGCGTGTCTGTTTGTTGCCGTATTTTTCGTCATGGATGCATGGCCTTTGACATATATTGGGAAGTAGGGGTAGGGGTGAGGAGTGGGGAATGGCCATATTATTTTATTTATGATATGTTTTCAGTGAGTGCTGATCACAGAATGAGGCATGGCCAGTACTGCTTAACGTGGATTCTGTTTCTGAAAGTATCAATTTCAAGAGGGACACATTCTGCCACCCTGATCAATTTTCAGTGAGATGTGATTCCGATGCTTTCATCTTTTAAGCAAAGTGTCACTGCATTTGCCCACCCTCCACAGACCTGAAGAGTTCACCAAGCAAACACACTGAGAAGTCAGACTAAGAAGCAAAAATAAGTAGTGCTTGAAATAAGACTGATTGAGACGGGAGATCATGGAAGCCCATTTTGTTTAGCCAAAAGGAGCCCCCGTCCCCTTCCAAAGGTGAAAGGGAAATTCAAAGCCCAAAGATGTGCAGCATTCGCCTCTGAGGCCCTGCTGTTTGCACCTGTGCTACAGCATGTGACTTGCCACCAGCCCACTTCAGATTCCATCAGCAGCTACTTTGAGAGAGGTGTCCTTACATTTACCACAAGTGGCTTTCGGTACTTGAATTTCAATACATCTGATTTGATCGAAAGAAAGAGTTGCTGATAAGCAAACCTTCTCAGGAGACAGAAGTACACCTTGTTACCCAGACATGATTTCTCAGGTCACTCTTGACAAGTGTGTTCAATTTTCAGATACTTTCCTTGCTTTCCATAAACTTGAGGGATTGCAAGGTCAGATTCTTCCTGTTTTAGTCCTGAACAGCATGATCAGAACCATTAAAAAAGCAAATAGTGTTCACCGTTCAAGTGTATTCTGAGGCTACCTTGGAATCATTCTCAGTCATGTGTAAGTTATTTTGATGGTTATTGGAAGCTAAGACAGTGTTTCAAAAGTGCATTTTGTTAATAGAGCTCATGATCAAAGAACTTAATATACTGTCTGTTTTGCCATGTTATGTCAATGCAGTCGCACATAATGACACTCCATGCCCTCCAAAACCATGAGCAGTCTTTGCAAGACTGATACCCATTTAAAGTATCAGTCTTGCAGAGCCCTTTGGGGAGCTGATGAATTAAAGGCAAAATCAATGTTCCAGGAAAGAGAAAAGTTGAAGAGCATGGGTGGGCTTCTTTGGGAAAACTCTCCAGGAGGTTTCTACCCCTTGCATATGTTTTATTTCATGTGCTCCATCTTGCCTTGAAAAATTTGATGAATGAACTAGAGGCAACGAGCCATTTATCAGATAACAGCAAACATCATCCTACAATGGAAGTTCTTCTAGAAAACAAAGATGACTTAACACCATTTGCAGATCAATGTATCAAACCCTCATATTTATGAGCCTGTTCAGCTTGAGACAGTCATTCAAGCTGAACTGTTTTGTGGGGCTCAGCCTGTTCTGCGTTTGCTGCTCCATCCAGAACCCCAAGCCATGGCTGAGTTGCAAATGGACGTAGCATGGTGTAGTGGGAAGAGCTCAGGATTTGGAACTTGAGTTCAAATTCTAGCTCAGCTACTTAAGAGTGGGAGGTCTTGGGCAAGAACCACAATTTCTTTTGAGTCTTAGCTTCTTCATCTGCTAGAAAGGGCTTATATTATCCATTACGTTAACTAAGACAGCGTAAGCTGAGTCTCTGGTGTGGAGGCAGACATTCAGTGCTCTGCTTAAAACTCAGCTTAAACATTCAGACAGTCTCTGGCGTGAGATTGTCCGAATTGAGAATCTGATGCTGCCCTTACTAGTTTTGTGACCCTGATGAGATTTTATAATAAGTCTCTGTCTTAGTTTGAAAAATAGGGATAAAAATAGTGCTGCCTCATAGGGTTATTGTTTGAACTACATGAGGTGATGTGTGTGGAGCTCTTAGCACCATGTCTGACACATAGCAAGCACCCAATAGATGTTAGCTGCCAACACCACCACCACCACCACCACCACCACCACCAATACAACCACCACCAACATCACCACCACCACCACTGGCATCGTCATATGTGCTCAATAAATGTAGGTTCCCACTACCTTGGATTATATACATTAGACCTGTGTTGAATAAATATTACCGTAAGGACTCAGGCCATTGGCTGGGAGATTTTGCTTTTTTCTATCGTCAGATAATTAATTTTTAATTTGCCTCAAAACAGTTCTGAAGTGGGGAAGAAAAGAAAAACCCACTTCTTAGTTGCCCTGTCCCATAATCAGGACGACCCTAGTTAGGGCCTCACAGGCCCCTTTTCACATCTAAAAAATGAGCAGTGTTATATTTACATGTAAATCATAATAAGTAGCTCCCAGCTCCTAAGGAAGGCTGGACTATAATCTCAATGAAGCAATTTTCTTCCTTTGAAAGCTTAGCCTGGCATTTCACAATTGCCTATCAAGAATTGCATATCAGGAGTTGCATGCCAAGGGGCCGATGCCGGCCTTGCAGACATATCCCCTAGACACCCACAGGGAAGTCTACATGAGCCTTTCCAGGCCCCTCCATCAGCAGCAGAGCAAGCCACGTTTGCTCTTTCTGTCTTGTTCCATTCACCCGTCCAACCAGCTGGAAATTTACTAACTGCAGTTTCTCAGTGCCTTTGCAGGCATTTGGAGAGGGATGGCACGTGAGGGTAGTTATGTTCCTGGTTTTATTTTCCCCTGTGCCTTCGTACAGTTGGAAAGCAAGAGTCCTGTCTTTCTTATCACCCTTACAACCATTATCTCCAGCTGGGTTTTTTTTTATTGTTAGAAATACCTGCATAATTCTGAGTAGGCAGGGGTGACGTCTGTTGATAAGTTAAAGCGTGTTGCACCACAGTAAGAAGACATCGACAGGCTCAATCCTTGAAGGTGGAAGCTTCGGGGGCCCGTCTCAAACAGCATTCCTGTTTTAGCAATAAAGCAAAATATCTTCAGTTATTTCATTTTTCCCCTACCCTTCCTCCTGGGAGAATCACGTGTCTTTGAAAGACTGGGTCAACAGGGACAAAAAAGAATCAAAATAATATTATAATGGCTGGTGTGGGAATGGCAGGTAATTTATACTTCACTGATGTGTTGCTGGACCAATTTTAAGGACAAAATGTTAGCGTTTGAGGAGATGAAAGAGAAATGAAAACATTTATTTGGTTTAATGGCTAAGTAAATAAACTGCCTATCAGACTTTCCCAGCTGCCAAGTCAAAGTAGCATCTGTAACAATAGGGGATTGTTCAGTGTGTCTCCCTTACTAACAACAGATATGGCCATAAATAACAAGTTGCTGTCATTTTTTTAATACTGATCTCCGTAGTAGGAACCCAACACATATAAAATATTACCTGATGGATTTCTAGTGTTCAAGGGAAAAGAAAGCTGAACTTCAGATGCTCGGAGAGGAGGAATCTTAAAAAAAAAATAAGGAAAGGAAAGGAGAGGAAAGGAAGGGGAAAAGAAGGGGAAGGGAAGGGAAGCCCACAGAGTGAGTTCAGGGGCCTTGGGTCTGAATACAGTTCCAAAGCAGATGACCCTGGGCAAACATGTAGCCCCTCTAAACCCTGGTCCCTGCATATGGATAAATATGGGCCATTAGAACAGCTGCCCCCCAAGGCTGTCCCAGAATCAGAAGATTTCATGACTATGAAAGTGCTTTGTAAGCTCTGAGAGTAAAACACATGTATTCAGGATTATTATTACTCTTCCGTTTTTTAAATAGAACCAAACAACATTCTTAAAACAGAAAGCCGCAGAAAAGAAAAGAATCTGTCCGTTTCACGGCCATAGCGCGCGGAGGGAAGTCCGTCCCACGCCTTCGGAACACTTCAGGCAAGAGATGCGAAGGGTGTGGCTGAGGGCACCGAGGGCCAGGAGGGAGAGCTAGGCTTTGGACCAAGAGACACTTAGAAGATGAAATCAAGAGGAAATTAAGACTGAAGGGAAATGGGAGGAAGGGGGCATAGTCTAGGGTTACCCCCAGGATCCTGGTTTAGAGGTCTGCGTTGTCAGTCACTGTGCTAAGGAACACAGAGCAACACGCTTGAGCAAGAAGGCCTGTTTACTCTGAGACCAGCTGAACTTGAGGTGGCCAGGAGACATCCAAGTAGAGATACCAGTAGGCTGCTGGGTATGACTCTAGAGGTCAAAAAAGAAAACCGAACAAGCCTTGCTGCTTCTCTTTAAATGGAGATAAGGTTGCCCAGGGTACAGTCTCAGCCTGACACCCAAGTGAGATCACGTATGTGATACAGAAAAGTCCTTTATAGACTACAGATGTTTCTGTAAATGTCAGCTATTTTCACTCTGTGGTTCTGCCTGGCTGCTGCATGTGAGCACATCACTTATATTTGAAGTGATCTGCAAATATGTGAAGTCTCTGTTAGCCACAGGGCCCCGCAGCCAGATTCCTTAGATGAACCCACATTCTTTCTGTCCAGTGTCCCTGGGGTGATCCACAGACATTGTTGGGTTTCATCACAAATTGCAGTGGCTCTTATGTGCTATGAAGGAGGAGCCACCGACAGGTGATTGTTAGGCCTAAGAACATCTTCAATAAACAGAGTGTAAAGCCATGTGCCCAGACATAAGGGATCTCACCTCTCTTAGAGAGTACCTCCTCTGTGCAGGCCCTGTGCTAGGCCATCGACATGTATTTTCCCCTTCAATGCTCATTGCACGGTTCACAGAGAGAATTTCTAGCTTCATTTTACAGATCGGGAAACTGCCTCCCAGATGGGTTAAGGAACCTTCACAGAGTCCTATGGTTACCAAGTGGATAACAGTGGGAAAGGACAGCAGCCTGACAGGAGCCCCTGGCCCTCATAGCAGGGCCTTGGTGTCCTGTTGACCGTGAGCAAGTTCACAGAACATCAGCGTCAGACAAGGCCACCCTATGACCATGATGGGTCAAGACAAGTCAAGAGCACTTGGTAGCCATGGCCCAGCACAGGCAAAACATGAGCATTGTCCACATTATTAAAATGACCGAACTTTCTTCTCTTCTACCTTTAACCTTGCTCTCTGTTCTTTCTGCCCTCAAGATAAGATTTATCACAATAATCATACTCCCGCTTCCTGAGGGCATCCAAGCCAGAGAATAACCTTACTTCCTTGACCCTCCCCAAATCATCTGACATAAGCACAACCCTGTAATAAGCCCTTTCTAACGCCCTCTTATGCAGATGCCCGTGGCTCCCCTCGCTGCAATGAGTAATCAGCCCAACATATTCAACTGCAAGTGTGTCCCTAGGGGACTTTGGCTGCAGGGAGTTGGCAGTGGGAATACTGTTCTAGATCTGCCTGATTTCAGTCTGTGCTTTCATTCCTTCACTGCACCTCCCAGGAAGCAGAGGATTCAACTTAAGTCAAAGGTTGGGGGATTGATTTTTGTTTTTATTTGTACCGTCTGGTTTTCCATCTACTTTGTTGTCCTGTAAAAATGAAGTGATTAATATGTCAGGCACAAGTGAGCCTAATGTTCTTGAGTACTTGCCAGCTCCCAGAGAAGAACCGCTCATCACTGGCATCTTCATTCTGTGTGTTGTTGCGGGTGCGCCTCCCGTGTTCTAAGCTCTCGCTCAGCATTTCAGATGCTGACGTGAAAGGTGCAGTGGAGCTCACTATGTAGGAGGTTCTAGGAGATTAACATGATAGCAGGGTAGACAGAGGTCTACACAAGGCCCTACAGAGTCTAGGAAGCCATTATATTTAAGCTGGTTCTGAAAGTATGAACTCCCGGTGCAGGACAAAGAGAGGCCCTGAAGGCAGGAGGAACTGCCCGAGCAGAGTCTCAGAGATGGGCAAGTCCTGTCCTGTCAGGTAGACCAGAAGACCATACAGAAGGTGGGGCATAGGAAAGAAGGAAACCATAGTTGAAAGGCTTCTTGTGCCAACCTGACGGGTTTGCACCACCCTTGGGGTAATAAGGAGTCAGGAGGGTCATTTCAAGCAGGAGATTGGCATGAGCAAATCCATTTCAGAAAGAACATTCTGGCAGAGGCGTAAAAAATCTTTTTTTAAAGCCTGATATACGTGACCTGAAGGTTGAGTTTGATTCATGGTCTGGAAGGGGCATTTATTAGCTCTAATGGACTATGAGACTAATGGGTCCCGTGTGCCCAGCTAAGGAGCTCTGACCCTACCCTGTGGGCGATGGGGAGCCTCTGAAGGATTTGAAGGGCAGAGACGTGGTCAGATCTGCCCGGAGAAAACAAAAACCACTAGCACTTTAACGTGCGATTCCATTTAAACATTTTGGAGTTTCAAAAATAGCCTCAAGACCCCACCGTGACCTTGCCGGAAGTCAAGTCTGGATCAAATGATTTCTAAGCTCCCCTGTAGCTCTGACAGTCTGAAATTTGGTAACAAGGAAGGCAACGCTGTTGCCAAAGCGGATAATGCATCACAGTGTCAGGCTTGGGGCTGATCTGCTGCCTGGGGTTTCCACGCCGCTGCTCCCCTTCATTAGTGGGGATAATTGAGAGTTGACTGCACTCGTTACCACTGTTGTGATGGGTATTTGAAGCCAAATTCCGGCAAGCAGGGGATATGTGAATATTTATCTCAGCTGCAGAAAGTTAATGCAGTGTGGCATTAATTACCCTGTCTGAGCCTGCTGTCTTCTTCTGTTTTTAGGTGTCATTCTCAGTTGAATAAATTAGTTCCAAAATTAGAATAGAGCACATTGTAGGGTGAGATCAAGGCAGCCTGACTTCTTAGGGCATCTGAAAAGAAGAGTGGGCTGAGGACATCTACCCAGGAAAGATTAATATGCATCCTGATAGCCCAGCGTAGGCCAAAGAAAATGGCTTTTCCCAGTACATGTATTTACAATTCCACCTTGGTTCCACCCACCCCACCCCAGAACACAACCACACAGGACACTTACAAGTTTAGCCTGAGAACAGATATTGGAAACATTTTAAGACATTGGCAGGGAATAGATTAAGTGCTTAATAAATCATCTTGCTATAGATTTCACTAGATTAGATTTTGAGAGAATTAAAGCCAAATTGGAGTGTTTTTAGGACCAAGGGGCCAGAACAGCAAAGAACATAGAAACCGTATCATAGTCATTCATTAATTCCACAAACCTTTATTGAGTGTGTACTGTGCTAAGTTCACATGTAAGATGGCAGAAGGAACTGGCAAGCGGTGACCAGAAGCAGGGTGTGGAAGGATGGGCTTCTGTACTTTCTGTCACTGGACAGTTGGAAGAAGAATTAGCATGTTTTCATTATGCTTAAAGGTCAGTATGAAGTTCCAGCAGGAAGGGAACAGGTTGATACTCTGTTAAATTACAAAATAGGGTGCCTGGCAGGGTAGGAGCCCTTCTCCCTAAAAGAATACAAACATATGAGTCTAGAAGAAAACATCCCAGATCCTAGTCTGGATGGCATGGTTACTAAGCAACCTTGTGACTTTGGTGAAACAAAAGCTCTCTTCTCTGGGCTTCAGATTCCTCATCTGTAAAATGATGGATCTGGACAAAATTATCTTTTAGCCCATTTCCTCTTTACAATAAAGATGAATAATATGATGTATGAAATACATGAGAAGCAGCACGATGACCTTGAGATCACACACCTCTCTGACCTTTTGTTTTTATCTGCAAAATGAGGACGGAAAGAATAAAAGCTATTCCTGTGACTCTTGGGCAGATAAAATAAGAAACAAGGGAGCTTTATAAACACCAAAGCACTCTACGGCACAAGAGNGGTGACCAGAAGCAGGGTGTGGAAGGATGGGCTTCTGTACTTTCTGTCACTGGACAGTTGGAAGAAGAATTAGCATGTTTTCATTATGCTTAAAGGTCAGTATGAAGTTCCAGCAGGAAGGGAACAGGTTGATACTCTGTTAAATTACAAAATAGGGTGCCTGGCAGGGTAGGAGCCCTTCTCCCTAAAAGAATACAAACATATGAGTCTAGAAGAAAACATCCCAGATCCTAGTCTGGATGGCATGGTTACTAAGCAACCTTGTGACTTTGGTGAAACAAAAGCTCTCTTCTCTGGGCTTCAGATTCCTCATCTGTAAAATGATGGATCTGGACAAAATTATCTTTTAGCCCATTTCCTCTTTACAATAAAGATGAATAATATGATGTATGAAATACATGAGAAGCAGCACGATGACCTTGAGATCACACACCTCTCTGACCTTTTGTTTTTATCTGCAAAATGAGGACGGAAAGAATAAAAGCTATTCCTGTGACTCTTGGGCAGATAAAATAAGAAACGAGGGAGCTTTATAAACACCAAAGCACTCTACGGCACAAGAGCTTAAAGAGATGGCCTTTTTTTTTTTTTTTCTTCTTTGTCAGCTGTTATAAAAGACTAGAAAAAGCACTAGACCCTACTTCTAAGTTCCATGTACCAAACTTACTAGCTGTGCAACTATGGGAAAATGACTTAACGTCTCTGTGCTTGATTTCTCATTTGCAAAAGAGGTAAAGCATCTGCCTTCAGGGCTGTTGTGATAAGTTAAAACGTCAGTGTACTCGAAAATACCTAGTGTTGTGCTAGGCACACAGTAGGGGCTCACAGAATGCCATTTCAATCTGATGGTTCAAGAAAATAAGCCAATAAAAGGACCTATACTCACAGGGCAAGAGGCAGGCTAATATATAAAATATAGCAGAATTAAGATGTCACTATGTCCATTTAATTCTGGCACAAACATCCAAGAGTGACAGTGTAAAGGTCAATTTTAATGGAAGCACACCATTTTCTATGTTTGCTTAAGACCTGAGTGTCGAGCTCTTCTGCTTGGCCAGAGCATCCTAGGCATTTCTGACATGAAGTCTTGAAGTGCTTTCAACAAGGCCAAACACCTTTTACAACCTATGTTTGGGTGGGAAGTTTGCTATGCCACATACTGGTAAAAAGCCTTGTGTGTATGTATGTATCTCAGGAAAGCCCCAAAGGGGCTGAACCTGAAAAAGATTGAATGGAAACAAGTCCCAGGAGCTTTTAACTAAGAGCTAATGGTACAATTGCTGTTTCTCTTGCTCTAAAGCATGCCCAGTCACCACTGCTCGAAAAACCAAAGAGCAGGCAGAAATAGAATTTCAGCCATATCAAGTGGACATTCATAAAACTTGAAGAAATCTCCACTTGACGCATATAATTGTTACCATTTTCTAAAGACCTGTTATTGCCAAACACTGTGCTAGATGTTTTCCCTCTACTCCTCTCAAGAACCCTGTAGGATGAACAGTATTATTGCCATTTCATGGTTGGGGAACTGAGTCTCAAAGGATAAGAGCTTGCCCACATCACACAGCTTGTCCAGCTTTTTCTACTGTACCATGCTATTTCCCTAACAGAGGCAATCAGTCTCACTTGAAACCCAAGGGCAAAACTGGGTGAGTAGTTCTTCTTGATAAAGTTGCCAAAGAATATGCATCATGATCATATACTCCAAAAATCACCCAAGGTCATCCATCCCACTGTCACCTTTCTGCTCCAATCCCAAACTCTCCTTCCCACGCTGTCTCAGAAATTCCTACCTGGAACAGAGCAGGTCTCACTTTGTCCCTCTGTCCGTAGGAGCTGGAGCCTCTCTATGCGCAGATCAGCAGACCTAAGAAATAGCATCAGTGCGGGCTCGTGGCGGGTGCTTCAGGACTGGCATGGAAATCAGCATCAGACCGACTCTCTTGTATTCTTTCACCTCCCTTCATCCCATGGAGAATTTCATGATTGCCCAATGGAACTCGTTCGGAAAGAGGAAACTAAGAGTTTTTGGCAACCAACGGCAGATATCTATGGCAGCACAAACAAAACAAAAACACACAAAAGTATAACAAAATCATACCCAACGTTACATCACAACTCAAGCAAATATTCTGAGCACCTGACAAATACTCTGAGCTCTCTTAGTGTGGATTGAAGATGACCCCCCAGTATGCAAAATCATAATTTCCTTTTTATTTCTCTCATGTTGTCCACTGTAGAGATGTCAAATTTGGAGCAACAGGCCTTCAAGTGTTACAGCAAGGTTGGCACTGACTTCTTTTAGGCAAAACAAGAGGTCCTCTGTGACCGCAGTCTCATCCTGCATATGCCTTTTGACATACGATGTTTTTTCATCACTCCACGGGGCCTGGTCTACCATTTCCCCCCTTTCCTTCCTTTGTCATGTTTGAAAATTAATGGGTGTACAAATTTTGTATTGCTTTTGACTTTTTAAAGATATTGATGAAGAAATCTAACGGGAAAAACAGTCTCATATGAAATGAATTAACTTGAAATCGCAAGACAAATAAGTGGCCGATTATTCTTTACAACCAGGAATGTTGCCAAAACAACCCTTTAGCTATTTCTGCATCCTGGTAAAGAAAGACCGCTTTCGGTTTGACCCTTCATTCTGCGAGTAGGAAAGGACATCAAATCCCATTGATGAGAAAGATGAAAAAATGCATCTGATTTCCTAAGAAGCTCTAAATTCTAAGTACAATAAAGTGATATTTTTTATTTTTCCGATATCTTGCTGCTGTGATGCTATGCAGACAAGTGTCTTCTCCACGTGCCATTTTCAAAGACAAGTCATTTGCCAAATAATCCTGGTACAATCCTGGTAGTGTGGCTCTGGATCTTAAAAAATGACTTTCTAATGGAACAATGGTGACATGAATATTCAGAATAACAAACTGATTCTGTGATCACAATGGTTCATCTCTATCTCTTTTTGTACATCAGAAAATTCAAATGGGATTTTTATTTTATAACTTGAAAAAAAAAAAAACCTTACCATTAAACTCTTTAAATATTTAAGGGAAATGGCTTTAAGGAGTTCTAATGAAAAAAAAAAAAAAATTGCCAGGTGTTGTGTTTTGTTTTTTCTTTGTAAATATAAATGTTAATGAAAATGCTTTTTAATAATGCCATTACACTGTAGAGAAGGTAGCAGATTGAGTGCAAGATGTGACAAGCGTGATGGATGGGGCTCGCTCTCCAGATGTTATTCCGGAGACGCATATGGGAGGAAGCTGGAGTTCAGGGACAGCTGGAGCAGCAGTTGGCCACCCGGCAGCTAGTGAGCAGGAAGGGAGCATGTGACTCCATCACCTCCTCTAGCATTTCCACAAGAGTACCCGCCCCCTGCGTGCCAGAAAAAGGTGATTCGCATTTTGAAGGCCTGTCCTTCAGATTCTAAACCCTCCCACCTCTCCACTGCCACCTCCCCCCATAGAAATCACTGGACTGTTTGTACATGAAACAGAGAGTTTAAGCTTCCTTTTTTTACATTTATGAGACAAGAAGTGCAGTGTTCGGTTCGTACGTTTAGCACATGATTTTCATAAAGAATCTATATATTTTTGCCCTACAGAGAATTGTTCTACAGGTCAGATGTGTTCTCCTGATGTTCCTATGCAGTTACAGTATGTTGAATTTAGTGGTTTAACACTAAGAAGAAAACTTAAAAGAGTTGTGTGGTTAATTGGACTTGAGGGTAACTACTATTACTTGGTTTTAAAATTTGAAAATTAGAATTTACATTGATGTGATTAACTTCAATAGGCCTGTGTACTTCAGTTCTTCATAGCAATAGAAACGGAAGTGATTTGGAAGAAGGTAAGCTTGCTCACAAAGAGAAAATTGACAAGTCAAGGTGATTGTTACTATTGGAAGCCCCAATTTTACATGATCAGGTCACTGGAATCCAGCTTTTTCCCAGTTAGGTAGCTGACCAAATGTCCACTCCGGAACACATGTAAATGTCACCCTAATGCGGAAGGTCTGAAGAGCCCGACAAGCGAGAAGGGCCATTTACCTCCCTCTGTAGCGATCACTCGTTGGTCCACGTGACTTCTCCACAATCGTGAGTACATTTTATGACCAGGTCATCTTTTCACGTGAAGGGGGAAATGGGAAAGGCATGTTAACCATAAGAGTTGTCCTGAAACCAGTCTGATGGTGTTTTCTGGGGATTTGATAAGATGCACAGTCCCCTGAGGAAACGGCTTACATTGCTGTGTTGTCCGTGATTCGGACTCTAAACAAGTGGTGCTATCCTCTCCCTCGATGTGGCTGTCCTGAGCTTGTCCAGCAGTATCACACCTTTGCACGGATCCTTTGGGTCGCTTCTGACGTGTTCAAAGTGAACCCTGGCAGATATTGCTGCATCAGTGAAGCATCTAGAGCCAGTTTCATTGCAGAAGATGACAGGCCAGTGGACTTACCAGTCATTGAATGCGAATGAAAATGTAACTGGCTCTGAACTTAAAGATGGCCTGTGTGATGCATTCCAGTGAGGGAAATAAAGTCAAGATTTGAAACTGCTATCCATGTGATCATTGGCAGAATTCTGATTTTTAGCGAGCACTGTTTGGCGAGCTCAGAAGCACTGTATCCTATCCCAGGAGTACAGCAAAATTTCCAAATAAGAGCTGAGGTGCCAACACCAAAAGGGGAGTCTGCACAGTTCCAGTTAGATTGATGGGAAAATCTATGTGTACAGCTGTTAATTTCTCATCCTCTGCTAGCACTAAATTTGTCACTTTAAATTTTGAAACCAGGGAAACGCCACCTGTCATTCTGTCCCCGTTCCCCATAGCTCTTCAGTCTTCACATGCCGCAAGACTTTTTTGATAATTCGTGCTCATCCAGTGTCTGCTGAAACCCATCATGTCATGTACCAGGCACCTTCTTAAAAAAAAACAAAAAAAAACACACACACACACAAAAAAACAATGTTTACTCTGTGGGTTTGGTTCATTTCAATTTCTGCGTTCTGACACATATTTTTTTAATAAAGATGAGAAAGAAAAAATGACTGTTGCCGTACATTTCTAGACCTACTTTAACTTTACCTCAGATGACAGTTTGTTAACATATATGGACACATTATTTTTAACTTTATGTACAATGCATTCAACAGAACAGCGAAATTTTTAGAAATTTTCCATTAATTTCTGTAACACACCATGTAAAACTTACAAATAAACATGTTTGAGAACAACAGCTTAGCTTGATTTTATTCCCCCCGTTTCTACCGGATGCCCAGGCAGGGGTCGGAAGAGGAGACGCTCTGCGGAAGCGGCCACCGGCCAGGGGAGGCCTGTCCCCTGCTGCCGGGAGTGGAGCAGCGCGCAGGCGGGGGGCCGCTGTCGGGACGCGCGCTCCCTGGGGAGATGTGTGGGGTCGCGTTCAGCATGGAGCTTCCAAGGTGGGAAGGACCCAGGGACCAGCCCTGTGGATTTAGGAATTCTCCTTTAAAAAAGCAAAAACAAAAAAACCCTCTTAAACTGTTGGTTGTTAAGCCAAGGTTTAATCTCGACTCTCAAAGGGTTCGCCGTAGTTCATTGCAAAGTCAGTTGCTTTAAGGGACCCAAAGAAGGGAGCATTTCGTTTTCTTCACATTCCCCACACACTCCATTCCAAAAAACAAGTCCTCAGCTGGACCTTGACTTTTATATGTATTGAAGAACAGTAAAAATATGTATATGTGTGTGTATATATATATATATTTGAGTGTATGCATATATGTGTGTGTGTCATTCTCATTTGCTCTTGTTACTAAGTCAGTCTGTCTAGCCAATAATCAGCCAGATTACAGATTGCAATGAGGTCATTGAGATGCCAGGAAACGCCTCTGTTGAGGAATGGTTGTGTTAATGGTCGCACAATCTGGGCTCCTTATACAGAAAGCATTAAACACATGTTATCACCAACTTTGCAAAACTGAGAGAACAGCTCTTCTGAATAACTACAGTGGCTTACACTTGTTGAGCAACTACTATGTGCCTGCTGGGCGCTAGACAACATGAACGGGGAGATATTACCCCTCATTTATAGATAAAGAAACTGAGACTCAGAGAGACAGAATGAACGACTTGGTAGAGTTGAGATTTGAATTTTGAGTCTTTATTCATAGTTGATTTTCATTTTTAAAAGTCGCTGGATATTCACTCTTTTAAATAGTTCATGTAGACTTGTTGAAAAGCATTAATGTCCTTTGCCTCTTCCCAGGCCTGTTGTTGTTCTTTGGTATTAAGTTAGATGTCTAAATTCCTCCAGTTTCAAGTAAAAATAAAAGCTGATTAGATGGTACTCTCTTAGGTGTGTTGCTAGATACGTAGTTTCTCCTTTAATTGGCACTTTTGAAAGGATGTGCGTCTGAGGGATAAAGAATATGCCTTTTGCCCAGCTAGTTCAAATTCAGCGGAAACCAAGCACTGCTGATTTACTTCTCCCACCTAAGGGGATCTTGAAGAAGTGGCAGATTCAAAGGTGTCCTGTTTAAGTGCTAGGAGGACACCAAAAGGCATCAGGCAGCCATTTCTGCTTTCATTTCATGCCCGACAGCAAATCCTTGTTGTTTTGACAGTAAATGTTTTTTTTGTTTTACTCCAAATGACAGTAAGAAAAACACCTAGAATAAAAACAGGTTTCATTGAAATCAACCTTCAGAGCTTTGAAAGCTTTTAAAAGATGTTTAAATTCAAGGGTAATGCAAGCAATGGTGCCTGAAAGGTTTTTTTTTTTAAAGGATGTAAATAGTTGTCAAGCCATTTGGTGACCAGTTCTCAGTATTTATGTTGAAATATGTATAACAGTTCCTATTATTATTTCTAAATCCTTACACAAACCCTGAGGGGAAAGAAGTATGCTGCCCATTTTACAGCTTAGGAAACTGAAACTCAGAGGTGTTAGGAAACAGCTGTCAGTCAGCAGAGCCAAGGAGCTCACCCAGAGGCTGCCATCGGTCCCGGGGTCTGATTCCCAAGTCCCGGCTGCTCCCGTCTGCAGGGTTTCCGTGATGTCAAATGGCTCTTGCACCTTCTGTAAAACAGTCTGAGTCTCTCTGTGTTTAATTCCAAGTGGTGTCTATGCCATTAGAAAAATCACACTGTGAATTGCCCTGACTGATTAGTACAGAAATGGATTCTCAAGTGAAATGACTGCAGGTATTTTAAAACAAAAGACAAATTCAGTTTTCTTCTCAAGAACAGTAATACCTCTAACCCAATCTAATGAATATTTAATTTCGAAACAAAATCCTCGCATTCACTTTTATCTTCCGAGGTGCAAGGATCTGAAGAAGGAACCTTTTTGAAAGAGCTTTCTGTTCATCCTTTGCTGAAGAATATGAATGACTGCCAAGTGGAAAATGTCTAAATATTCTTGCGAGACGGCAGCCTCTGGTGACTTGGGTCTTTAATCTTCTGAGCAACCTCTTGCTACTTATATCACTCACGCTGGGGTCGCAGCCTGGAGAGGGGAGCAAGCAGGAATGGTTGGAGACGGAATGAGCAGCAGCCAGGGCTGGCAGACTGTCAACAGGAAAATGCTAAACTGTCCTTCATGCCACTTGCAGCGGCTCCACCGGGCCTTCCCTTTGGGGATGCGGGGAACCCTGAAGTCTGTCTCGTTTAGATTATAGGTCAGGGTCACTCACCTGGAGCTCACAGCCATGAGCTCATAAATCTAGGAACTTAGTTATTAAAGGAAAGTTGTTTCCTCTTACCTGCCTCGTACCTTTCCAGACCTCCATGGAAGGAAACAGAAAGTGGTCCGGAATCCCACCACCCAAGTGTATTTACCCTTTCAGGAGGAATCAGCTTCACTGTGTAAACTAAAAGTAAGGGAAACCTCACCCAGTGGTCGGCCCACTTTTATCAGAAGAGAGATGCAGAGGCCAAGCAGGCAGATAGATAGTCCATCA